AATTTCATCAAAATCCGTTCAGCCGTTTAAGCTACAAACTCTAACAAACATCCATCCATCCATCTAAACTTTTGCTTTTATAATATACTAGCTTTCGCCCGCGACTCCGTCCGCGTGGTAATAGATAATACAAAAGTGAGTAGTCCATGTATTCTTGCAGACTATTCTCTACATCTGTACGAAATTTCATCAAAAACCGTTCAGCCGTTTAAGCTACAAACTCTAACAAACATCCATCCATCCATCTAAACTTTCGTATTTATAATATAAGTATGATAAAGAAATCTAAATAAAAACAAAGAAATTATACTAAACTTAAAATTAATTCATGTCTTACTAAAGTGAGTTAAAGATGTAAAAACTTTTTACTCCAGTAACTTTTTTAATTAAATAATTAGGAGATAGGGGAACTTGTTTTTTCCAACTCCGTAAACAAACCGAATGGAGAAACAAAAGGTTAAAATTTATGGAAGCGTTATACTGATTGCTAGGGACAAATTGCAACTTGGAATGATGCCAGATGTTATCTAATTGTATCGGTCGACGTTTGCTTTGAACTCATGTTCGGCTATTGATTTGTGTTGTTTATTTTTAATATTTGCCAAAAGTTTGGAAATTCGTAACATTTGATTTTTCATTGTATTTATTCTTTCGTTTTGTCACTTTAATACTGTAGCTGAATAGGATGTTTTTAAATGTTCATTGAATGGTTTTATTATCGACTAGTTTTGAGTCGCGACTCTATCCTCGTGTAATTAAATAAACAAAATTAAGTACGCTATGTGTTCTACCAGACTATCCTCTACATCTTTGTCTAACATCGAATACAGCAGCTTATGTTTTAACAGTGGTAGTGCCCGCTTTAACATCTTAGCACGAATGGGCCGGCACGCCCGGTGTGAAAGACAGGCGTGAAATGGAAGCAATTCCGTGTTTCGTCTGATGAGTGTGGTGCCGGAGGCCTAATTTTATTCCCTTTCTCTTTATCACCCTTTTCTTATAAGGAGAGGATGGGAAGGGGAAGTGGATTTGAATTCAACTGTTTAGTTGCATAACTAATAATCGAGTAGTGTGCGCACCTCCATATAAGCTCATAGGAATCAAAGCGCGACTAAACAGTTGAGCTATAGTCAAAGATGTGCACGTGTTCCTTCGAACATTGAATAACATCAATATTCTCGCAATATTTAAGTCGTAGAAATATTCGTAAATTGCCTTTTAAACTAATGCATTGAGATTTTACATTATAATCATTCATTCATTTGATTTGTATTAAAATAAAGTACACGTGTTACAAGTATGGGCGTCACAGCCATGTTAAGGTTTAATAAAATATAGTCTTCATTACCTCTTATGTTTTCTTCCAATTTGCACAGCATACCTTACCAATATGGCCGTCGTGTCGTCGAGCTAATGCAACACCCTTATTTTGACATCCGACTACTATCCGATTATTAATATAACAAGCACAATTACGACATTTTAAAACCATGACATAAATATTTTAAATAATGTTTTGGATCACAATTACAAAGCTTATATCGTTATTTCAAATTATGACAAATGGTATTGATTTATAGCACAGACTAATAATCTTCAAGAATACAGAATACGTCAAAGTAGTTAAAAAGCTAACACAAGGTACAAATTCCACCGATGAATATAAAGAAGCAAAAATAACCCATCCAATTTAAAATTAATGCCTTTCGTCTGTCTTCAACCAATTTTAATTCAAATAGAAAACTCAGAGTTGTCATCACATCAAGTGATATTTAGAATTTCAAGCAGACCACTTTATATGCACCCCGAATGAATATTTCTGGTGAAAATATGAATGAAAGCAAAAATAAATGGCATTAATCAAATTTTCATTAATATTCCATGCTTAGGATTGGTATTATAATAATATTTGCAAGTATTGCAACGTGTTACTTTGAACTATGTAAATTCTACATCAAAAGAATAAATCTATACATATAATAACATTGGAGTGTCTGTAATTTCAAAAGAAAAATTCCAGATTTCTGAAAGATGATGTATTTGCGTTGCTGATAACGAAAATCTCATTTAAAATAGAGTTCTGTCTGTCTGTTCGTCACCAAGCCGCGTTTGTCCTGGGCAGCCCGCGTGTCGGAATACGGCTAGATCGATCGGACTTGCACTGAAGGGTAGCTGATGTCGACGGGAATATTATAGGCTACTTTTTAATCTTAATACTAGCTTTCGCTCGCGACTCCGTCCGTGTGGTATTTAAAAAAAAACAAAATTAAGTACCCTATGTGTTCTTCCAGAATATCCTCTACATCTATACCAAATTTCATAGAGATCCATTCAGCCGTTTGGGCTACAAACTCTAAAAAACATCCATCTAAACTTTCGCATTTATAATATTAGTATGTTTGTATGTACGAAGTCGCGGGAAACAGCTAATAATCGAATAAATTTCGATTTAAATAGCACGACATAAGACATTTCTTTCAAATCACGTTTATATATATAGTGTGTAAATGCAGTTGTATCAACAAATTCAGTTAAAACGGTTACTGCAACTGAATTATTCGTAACAAATAGTAACATCTAATGCACTCCGGGAATTAAACAGCTCTAAAGTCTACTAAGACGGTCGGGAAGTGTCCCGGTGTCCCAATTAATTAATCCCTAAGCCTGGAATCCTGCCAGGAGCGGCCGTTGTTTGAGCAAACAATGCCCACAGTGAACCACCACAGTCAGCGGGTAAAAAGCAAACTAATTAAGGAATGTGAACTATATCTGGCGTGAGATCTGATGCTTTTGAATTCAAGAAAGACATTGAAACTATTCTAGTATGATAAGAAATCCTTCTCCAAGGTTTCTTAATAGAAGAGATAAAGATTAAAAAGAATCAATAAACGAAAATAAAACCAGACGATTACTCTTCTTCTTCTTCTGTAGCTTCTTTGTGAGCCTTGACTTGGTCCAGCAATTATTTCCATTTCGGCCTATCTCTGGCCACGGTCCTCCAGTTCGCTATGCCAACGGTTTTACTCCAGTTCGCTATGCCAATGGTTTTAGTCGATTACTCAAACACAACTCAAAAAAAAAACAAAAAAAAACCTGTACTTAATCTCAGATTACTTGAGTTTCTAGCAACTTTCAAGTGTAACATCGTACTAATATTATAAATGCGAAAGTTTAGATGTATGGATGGATGTTTGTTAGAGTTTTATCCTAAACTGTTGAACGGATTATAATGAAGTTTGGTACAGATGTAGAGGATAGTCTGGAAGAACACATAGGCTACACAATTGTGTTTTTTTTTACTCTACGCGGACGGAGTCGCGTACGAAAGCTAGTCTTCTAATAAATGTTCTAAGCGATATCTTAAGGAACAAGACGAAAAAACAACTAAAGAAACACAATAGTTTCAATTTGCTCTACTTACGGAATATATTTTGTTGAAAACAAAATTTTCTCAAATTTTTACCATTTACGTATCATAACCTCTGTAAGACTCAAAGAGGATCTTAACGACCCCCATCTATTCACAGAGAAGTAATAAATGTGCGAATTACAATAGACAGGAATTTATTCAAGTAACACGCCACGGACATAACGGAGAAAATTGTCTGAAAACCATAAAATAAATTGTGCAGTGTCCCAGTTCGTACAGTCAGCGGAGACAAAGACTGTAGTGCATTGAAGGGCCACTTGAGTGCTGGCAAGAATTTCGCTGTATCTTTAAATTTCCCGCTTAATCTAGAGTATCCTCCAGTGATTATTAAAGTTAACGAGAGAATGTTCCCGTAGTTTCGTTTTACTACTCGTGGATTCGTTTCAGTCTGTTCTGCAATTGTATCATTTTATTTCATTTATTTAATACTAGCTTTCGCCCACGAGTCTGTCCGAGTGGATTTGAAAAAAACAAAGCCTATGTGTTCTCTACATCTTTACCAAATTTCATCGAAATCCGTTCAGCCGTTTAGGCTACAAACTCTAACAAACATTCATCCATCCATCTATCTAAACTTTCGGATTTATAATATTCGTTAGAAGTAAGATTAGATTAAATATACCTTTTTAATTATATAGGTTTTATTTCGAAGCAATTATTGTTTTTAGAACCAAGCGCAGTTATAAATTGTCAAAAAACTGATTCTAATTTTTATAATCAAGGTAACAAAAGTCGATGGCATTTGAAATTGCAAATTATTATATCGATAAATAAAATAGGTGACGTAAAAAGGGCTACCTATTACAAGCAAAAAAGGAATAATCAACTTTAACAACCGAATATTAAAGTACGAAATTGCGCTACAATAAATAAAACGACACTCATGCCATAAATGTAACGACACGACTATTGTAAATTGAGCTTTCAGTTGGAATGCAGTTCCATGTATTTCGTACAATTTATTTGAGACTAGGGTTCGAGGTAGGTCATCGTATCTTGGTTGTTAGAATGAAAATTAATGGGTGCAGGTCACGTGATCAGACGATTTGTCGTGACGCCTAAACGATTACATGGATCATTAGTCATATTACCACCTACGATAACATCGTTTACGTATTCATTGGTAAAATAATGCAACTGCGCACGCTAAAACACATTCATTAATTTTCCTAGGTAATAATGCTGGGGGCATTTTGTTCGGTACTATGAATTTGTAATTCTGGTCAATTATGGCAAGAAATAACAGTATACATTAGGATAGAGATAGCAAAGGTTTATAATACGAAATATAAGAAGCTAGTCTCTTAATATTAGTCCCTTTTCCTTTCTTAAGAGTATGGGAAAGAAAAGTTGATTTGACGGTGGAGAAGACGCATAGGAAGGGGAAATATCCTCTTTATGTGCATCTTCTCCGTTGATTAAGGGTAGGCAACGCATTTGCAATTGCTGATGTCTTTAGGCAGCGGTCGCTTTGCCATTCCTGCGGTTTCAGGTGGCCGCTTGCTCGTTTGATGTAAAAAAAGTTTGTATTTTACAATTCAATTCTTTCGACGAAGTAAAAACAAATATATCAAAGTAAGATTTTTTAATACAATCGCAATAACGCATACATGGACTTTACAAAACACAGGCGTAGAGAATAATACAAAAATATATAGTCTTCAATAGACATCTAACCGTAACGTACTAATATGAATAAAAATATATTCCAAGCTGTGACTAATCTATCCAAAACGTTGTAGCCCTGGCCGCTCTTTGTTCCCGACAATTTTCGTTGTGTTGGTGAAAGCAAGGATAGAACACCGTCCATCGTTTCCTCGCATGTCGGCAAAATGTCTGCCGGAGGGAGTGCGAAACCGTAGTAACCTTCATCTCGAAGCTCGAATGTCATCACATATCTAACAAGCAATAATTAAAAATTGAATGGGATAACACCAGAGATATTAAACATTAAATATGATTTAGAGCGGACATTCAAAGGAATTTCCTATAAATACTTTAGATAAGTCAGAAGCGCAAATTTCACTTTATAGACCTAGTTTTTAGAGTAAACTTTGCCCACTTCTATCGAAATTCTTCCTTGACTATAACATAATGAAACTGTATTTCGCTAACTATATGAGTATACTATATAAATAGCGACATTCTGCCGGTCAGTTGCCGCTCATTGGTCAAAATATGACTCTCTCAGTATGACATTGTTGGTTAAAAAAATTGCCGCCTGCCATATCATTCTTATAGGTCTAAATATGCTCGCATTTCAGACATCGCCGTAGATAGACAATTTAGTTCATACTGTCCTTTCTACTGATATTGAATATCTTTATAAATAAACTTACGGGACTTTAAACGTCTTCTTGACCCAACATCCGCTAACTCCCGATGTCAAATAGCCTAAAATTATATTAATTTTGTTAGCATGTTAAGATTACGACATAAGTTTTGTGTAAAAGTCCTTAGCTTCAATAACAATGGAGTAATTAAAATAAAAATATTTAATTTGATGATTAAAGGTTCTTTGTCATCATCATCACCAGCTCACTAGACGTCCCCACCGAGTCGCTCAGATCCTACCCTGAGTAAGGGGTGACTAGGCCATAGTCAACCACGCTGGCCCAGTGCGGGTTGGTTGACTTCACACATATCTTTGAATTTCTTCGCCGATATGTGCAGGTTGCATCACAATGACATTTGCATTTGACAGTGGTAGTGCCCGCTTTAACATCTTAGCACGAATGGGCCGGCACGCCCGGTGTAATACCACGACCACACAGAAGACAGGCGTGAAATGGAAGCAATTCCGTGTTTCGTTTGATGAGTGTGGTGCCGGAGGCTGAATTTAAGTCCCTTTCTCTTTACCACCCTTTTCTTATAAGGGAAGGGGAAGTGGATTTGACGGTGGAGGAGATGCATAGAAAGGGGAAATATGCTCTTTATGTGCGTCTCCTCCTCCGTCGTATAAGGGTAGGCAACGCATCTGCAATTGCGGATGTCTATGGGCAGCGGTCGCTTCGCCATTTTGGCGGCGCACCGCTTGCTCGTTTGCCACCTTATGCTATAAAAAAAAAAAAACAATGTTTTACTTCACCGTAAGAACGTCGGGTAAATTATGTACATATGAAAATTCGCAAAAACGGAAAATCACATTGGTACATGGCGGGATTCGAACCCAAGACCTGTAGATTACAAATCAAGTGCTTAAACCGCTGAGCCACCGACGTTCTATTCGAAGGTTGATTCTATTGAACTTAGAAATGTTTTTATAGTACAGATAGCCTATTGAAATATTGAGAATTTTTAGTTAGCTTGTTTCGAAATTTTAAATTTTACATGAAATTCCACATTACCGACAGTATCGAAAGCCGTTCCTACAGTATATCCGGTACCATGCTTATCAGCAATCCTTAGTGCTGCTTTCTTACCCATTGTGTACTGAAATAAAAACAAATGTTTTATATACAAATCAAGTAAATCGAAGCAAATGATATCTTCATTATCATTGTCGATTGCCTTAGTTTCAAGTTTGGAAAAAGATGTCTCAAAATTGATTTACCACTTCATCGAAATTTTCTAAATGTTTTCTCGTGAATGTGTAAGGTATAATCATATATTGGCCATATGAATGAAATGCAAGATAATATTCCAAGTCTTCGCTTTTGGAACGCACGAAAGAAGCCATAGAAGAACTTTCTCGTTCAGAAAATGCATGATCACCACAATATGAATTATCCCATGAACTAAAACTGACTCCGACAGCTGAAATTATATTTTAAATTGAAAACTAGTTTAGTAAATACATTAAGAATGTAAGTAGTAAATGTAAGAAATTTTACTTCCAAATGCGATTCCAAAATTTCTGTTTAGATCAACGCCTCGACCATTTTTCCTCCATAAACGATCCTGGAAATATATTAACAAATAGAATGTCAAGCATTGATTAATTAAGTCCTAATTAAAAATGATTCTGTACAGTACAAATTATCATAAAAAACTGTAGTCTTAATCAACTTACTGAAGTATGAGTTATTTCGTAGCCGTCCGGATTTAAGATTGGCACGAAATACCATTCGTATGCAAAGGCGATCTCCTTCAGTACTGTATTATTTGATTTTGGCGCGTGGAGGATTTGATTCATCATATACGTGACGAAAGCCGGTGATATCCACTCCCGAGCATGTATACCACCTTCAACTATCACCTTAGGTCTGAGAACATACAGATCTTGATGTTTTATTTAACACTAGTCTCTGTTCTTACTCCACAATCATACAGAAGACAGGCGGGAAGTAAGTATATAGCAAGGAAATGATGGGAAGGAAGATGTACTCGATAACGGAGAAGCAAAATATTAAAAAGAAACTTTTGTTTATCCTCTTCGCTGTGCAATACATGTAGGCAATGAATCTGTTTGCAGATGTCTATGAGTTGTAGTATTATCACTATGCGGCTTTGTCAGTTTCTCGAAAATCTCACTGTTGTCGATTGGCAGCATCGAAATGGTGGGGTACCTGGTCAGCCGTATTATCCGATGACGAAACTCGGCATAGCATAAATCGATACAAACAATTCGTCAGACTAATCTCCGTACTATAACTAAATTTTGTCAATTTACACTAGGCTGTGTGATATTTAATAAGTTACCTTCTTTTGCCGGTGCCTAGAAGAATTCTAACTGCAATAATATCTCGGTTCTCCAAAGTTTTTCCAATACTCTCTAAGTAAACCTCCTGAGGATATTCATTCCCAAGATCAAACAACCATTTGTAAATATCGTTTGTTTTGAAATAACTCCGCCAATCAAACTGTTCCATTTTTCTCCTAACGTAACTTCGCACGGTTTGTCCATCAAATGCCCTAAAATCCGAACAGTTTATTACGTCACTAAATCTTTAACTATTTAAAGTTATATTAAAAAAAATTGTGTATTCCAATATTTTCTTCTTTAAATCTTACATATAATATAATAACCAATACCTCTGTACGTTATCCATGATTGTCACCAAGTATATGCCCAAATGTTCGGCATCTTTCGTAAACGCAGGCTTGTCTTCAGGTGATATTATAAACTCTACTGATTTGCTGATTTTACCGGGTGGTCTCCAATAGTTTACGTCATAAAATTGGTTCAGATCTTTGAAGAATTTTAGATGTTTTTCGCTCATCGGTATTGCTCGATAGAGAGTGTGGTTGTGGTATTTTTTCTGCGCACATTCATCAAATGGGAATATTGTCACAAAATAAACAATGACAACACGAAATGCTATTAACATTATTCTAGAAAACTACTATATTTTTAAATACGATTATATAATTTATTATTTGTATTTTCGATTTGTCAGATTGACGTCTGTACTTCAATTTTATTTTGATGAGCATCAAATTGTGTCTATGGATTTTATCACAGATTATTATCAAGACATTGCAACTTTTTAAATCATACTCTTCGTACTAATATTATAAATGCGAAAGTTTAGATGGATGGATGTTTATTAGAGTTTGTAGCCTAAGCGGCTGAACGGATATCGATGAAATTTGGTAAAGATGTAGAGGATAGTCTGGAAGAATACATAGGCTACTCACTTTTGTTTTATTTAATTCCACGCGAACGGAGTCCGCGAGCGAAAGCTAGTTATCTATAGTTCGATGTTATGACCCAGGTCAAAGAGCTCGTGTAAATATAATAAGGTCTTTGTTCTATACTCCTGATCTACAGAAATGAGAGATGCAAAGAGAATATTTGAGCTTAGGTAAACCATAACGATCATTTACAAAATCTACTTCAAGATTATATTGTGACATCGTGGGTTTTCAACAATCTGACCATTGCAACATTTTATTATTCCAACTTAAAGACTTTAAAAGCTATGAAGTTATTTTTACAATAACAAGCAAATTCTATTTAAAGCTTTAATACACATTTTTATAAAAAATAAAAACATTACATTAACAAAACACAATAAAACATATCAAAAAATAAATCACTGTTAACATCATGATTGCTAGTTTAGGTTTCTGGGCCGCATTAAACAAATCAGAACGTATACGTCTGGGACGAGCTGTCATCAGCTCAACAAGGCCTTGCAAGGCCTCCTCGCAGGTCGGCTTTATCTGGTCGTTGGGTAGCGCGTACCCGTAACTCCCATTGTCACGTAATATAAACGTTATCACATACCTAAAACCAAACTTGTCTAAAGCATGTTATTTTTTACATTAACTAGTACGATAAGGTAGGGGAGGTGATGATTATGAGCCATGAAACTGATTAGATCTTAGAAGAATCTATAGATACATTGAACCAGTGATGCTACAAAACTTGTAAACATTTTATCGAAGTTACTTTTAAGTACAAATCAAGTAAAACTCTTACTTTGTTTTAAAGTTTTTCTTTACCCAAGTTGTACTACTTCCAGAGGCACGTAAACCTAAAATGTAATTATGATAAAGCATAAAGCAAACAAGAATAAATATTTTTTAACTTCATTTTAGGTAAATATTATCCAGACCTAAGGTGTCATATGTTGTGCCAACGCTGTATTTTACTCCATTCAATCTATACATTCGCAATATGGCTTGCTTTGCATAGTTATCCTGAAAAATAAAGTCTTAGAGACCCCGCATATCACGGACTAAACTATCACACGGTTAATGAATTTTGGAACACGCCTAAATGATATATAATGTATCCTATGTCTAGACGACCGCTCGGTTTAAAAGTCAAAATGATTGTTTGTCTATCCCAAACCAACCCGCCTGTTTAGTCGGGCTGGCGTGCACACTACAGCTTGATCTGATCTTACTCTCGGGGGACTGTTTAGTCTTAGAAGCTCGGGGCCTCCTAATTAACGTCTAAACCGTTAATAACTTAACAAGATGAATCACAAACAGTCTTTCAAATTATTTAATCTAGATTTTATAAAACAATATGAAGATTGTTGTTTCCTCCATAGCTTCACAAATTTCATCTTCAACCTTCTTATTACTCATCAATAAGTCTAAACTAAATTCTTCTTTCCATATATCTTTGTCAAAAAAAATCAGAAAATTGTTACCATTTCCGAAAAATTTTCAACGTGTTGCACTCTATCGTCGTAGGGTATAATAATTTTTTGTCCATATGAGTGAAACGAGATGTAGAATTTCAAACGATCTCGTTTACTTGTAATAAATCCGGCTAAAGCTTTGGATTCTGGCTCCGAGAAAGGTTCAGTGCCACCATAGTTATCGTCTTTCGCATGGGTACTAGTTCCGTATTCTGTGTAATTAATAAAATATGATTCTAACTTTTAATTAAATTTTTACTGCTGATTATGGTTTTTAATTTCCCCTTCAGTGTATTTCTAAAACTTCACCAGTATCAAAAATATTTTATTTAAATTTAAACTTACTTCCAAAATTATGTTCAAAGTTTCGATTTAAATCAACTCCTTCGCCCTCACTGAATATTCTTCTATTTTTGCGCCATAGACGATCCTAAAAGACATATTTTCGTTAGGAGTTTCAAACATTTTACTTTTTAAACTACATGTGATAGACATTTGTAGATATAGGTGCGTTCCATGCAGACCGAACCCTTTTCATTTCAAATCGACAGGTATCTCGTAAATATTTTCTGGGACTGAAAAAAATATTGTTATTAGGGTTTACATTACAAAATATACTTACATTTTTAATACTGTAGTCGAAACCATCAGGATTTACTACCGGTATTAAATACCAGTGGTATTTATTCGCCAGGTCATACAATATATCATCCTCGCCTTTAGCATATACTAGACTTTTTATTAAAAATGTTACAAAGATGGTGGATATCCATTCATTTCCATGTATGCCTCCATCAACAATCACGTTAGCTTTACCCTTATCTTTCTTAATTAAAACTGCTTGAATATCTCTGCCTTCAGCAGACTGTCCGATAGTACGAAGTTCGACTCGCTCGGGATTTTGGACAGCTATGTCAGATATCCATTGGTAAATATCTTCTAAACTATGATAGTACTCCCAAGTGAATGAATCTACTTTTGGTGTTACATACTTTTTCATGTTTTGGGAATCGAACGCACTGAAAAATAGTATTGTATTATTTTGATACAATTATTTGAGATCGAAGGTTCTAAAACACGATACGAGTAAAAATAGTATTTTGTATTTGTAGATAAAAAATTTTAAAAAATGTAAAAACCTCTCCGACACACTCTCGTCTAATTCTATGCCAAATTTCATCGAGATCCATTTAGGTTACAAACTTTAACAAACATCCATGCATACATCTAAACTTACTTATACTTTAGTTGTTTAGATGTCTTTAATTTAAAAACCTTTGTTTACCTCCATGTAAAAGTTTTGAAAAAAACGTAACTACTTTGTAATAACAACACTTGTTACCTTTGTACATCTCGTAATAACACTTGTGTTTCCAATTTAAAATGACGGGTTCTCTCTCTGAATATTTCCAAGTCCATAGGATTGACTATAAAATGTACATCGTTGTACAATTTAGATGGTTTCTTCCAGAATATAACATCTATATATTTTTCTGATACCAAATTTTGTAAGAAATTCAAATGATATTCTTCTGTAGGTGTGGCACTGAACAGTGTGAAATTGTCATATCTTCGACTTATGCATAGTTTAAAGATCGTAAACAAAATTAAAAGATTTAGACAGTATGATTTCATAATTTTAACAACACAAAAAATTTTAGGACCCAAATCGCTGACAGATGATGACTTTGACGTTAAAATGTTAACTGATTAATTTACTTCTCGACAGAAAATGTGTCCAATAAGTTTTGTTCTGGTTTGTTTATTTGCATCTCAACACTACAGTTGGATCAATTTTATAGGTCGCATTTGACATTTCAGCGAAATCCGAAAAACAACCTCATCATCACCAACATGTCCTTGTACCTAAGGATGGTCGGAAAACTGTGCTGCTCTTCCATAAATCTTTATTAGCTGTCATGTTTCAATTTACTACCTTCTTAAGCATATTGTTTCATACAATTCCATACTTTCTTCGGTCTTCGTCTACCTTTTGTAGCCATCCACGTTCAATCTTAATGCTTTCATGTGTATATCTTCAACGTGTCGCCGCATAATATGCCCAACCAAATACAATTACAAACATTTGGGATAAAGTATGAAATTACATTAGATCAGTTGTTTCTTTATCACTTATATTCCATTTCAAATGTACAGTTTTCAATAAAAATCAATTTTCTTCTTTATAAAGGGGAAGTTTTGGTTAATTAAAAAGAGAGAATTGTTGCTGCAGATTGGAACTTATGTAGCCATCTTTGGTCCAACTTCTCGTATTATTCATTAGAACTTTACTGTAGACAGTCACATTTCTCTCGATATTTTCCTTCGACTAAACTTTTAATGAGAGTGCTGTATTTTTAAATATTTTTTTGTTGTAATGGATATTGTATTGTAATAAATATTGACAAATACAAATTAATCATTTTAACTTTAAAGGTAAAAATAACAAACAAGTGATAGCTATTTACTTATAAGATTCAGTAGGAAAAAATTTGGAAATAGAATATAAATATGTCCCCTGTGTGTCTCTAAATTTTAAAGTTAGGATCAACAGAGGTCGCTTCGCTGTTTTGGACACTTATAATGATTGCTTGCTCGTTTGTTGAAAAATATATTATCTCTTCAACAGAAAACATTTCTATGTCATTAAGCAATGTTTTAACCGATCTAAATTTTCATATAAATCTTATAGTATTGACTACAAAGAGATGGATAGATTGCGTAAAGTGACATGATCAAAAAGGGAGTCATGACGTATGATAGAGTTATGTGGAGGACAAAAACTAGTTGCGCCAACCCTACAGGAGTACGATAAGGAGAACGATGATGATGATGGAACGGAAACTTAAGAACCGGTCTGAAATATAAAATAAAACAAACTGTAAATTTACCTTACCAACTAAACATCATTAACAACCATAAATAAATTCTTATAACCCTAGTTATTACCATATTAAAAGCTTATTTCACTATTAACATAAATTCTATTTGCTAAATTAGGTTTTAAGTGGCCCTTGAATAACCGCAATCACTCGATAAGAGTTCCTTAGCTTCGACTTGCTCAAAATCCCGCAAACTTTGCATTTAATATCCGATATTGATACTTGAGAAGGCAATTTAATACAGTCTTGCTTTTAAATGAGGATCAAATTTAACGAATACTTTCATTTATTACATTTAAAAATTATTAGTCTTACTAATATTATAAATGCGAAAGAAAAGATGGATGGATGTTTGTTAAAGTTTGTAGTCTAAACTGCTGAACGGATCTCAATAAAATTTGGCATAGATGTAGAGGATAGTCTGGAAGAATTCATAGGCTACTTATTTTTGTTTTTTTGAATACCACGCGGACGGAGACGCAGGCGAAAGCTATTGGTACAAAAATATATTATTCTATTTTTGAAAATAGAATATTGTATCTACAAATATACATTTATAAATATGTTGTATATATAACGATTATGAACGTAAAATAAAAAATGGTTTTATCAGAACTATCTCAAAGGGATTTCCGTTTGAATTTAGATTAGATAATGAGAAAATTATGTAAATCAACCAAGATTATCAATAGTAATATAAGTGAAAATGGTGTACAAGAAACTTATATGTTATAATGGTTACTTCGCTGTTTTAGCGAATTTTGATCGTTTGATAGTTTGCCACGTTTCACTGCAAAACAAAATCATATTTACTACACTGATTTATAAAACATGAAATGAAACAATTAAGTAATAAGTAACAAAATCAATCTCTTCTATTTCCTTCTCTCGTAGGGTCGGCGCGACAAGTTTTTGTCCTCCACATAACTCTATCATCTGTCATCTCAGTCATCACTCCCTTCTTGATCATGTCACATTTCACGCAATTCATCCATCTCTTTTTAAGTCTACCTCTACCGATGTACCTCCACACTCACAACTAACGTTCTTCTTATAATCTTACTAATCTTACTATCTTACAGTATAAATGTGAAAGTTAAGATGGATGGATGGATAGATGGATGTTTGTTTAGATTTTGTAGCCTAAACGGCTGAACGAAATTTGGCATAGATGTAGAGAATAGTCTGGAGGAACACATACGCTATTCACTTTTGTTTTTTTTCCATTACGCGGATGGTGTCGCGAGCGAAATCTAGTTATTTAATAAAAACAAGCGGAATAAATATCTAATAGCGTCTTATTTTTCAAATTGTACATTTAATAGCGAAAGTTCTCGATCCCATTAAGTAGCTGTCAACTAACAATAGGACAGGAGATTAAGAAGTTAAATAAAAATGTACCTTTTTAATGCGAAAACTTTTGATGTCATCGGACTCGACATTTATTTTACAGTCATTGGAATTTTCACTTATTTTGTTCATGCTGTCATCTGTGATACTTACATGTTAATTGTCTTTGTAACAGAAAACTCTTCTATATCCTATTAAAAAGCCTTTATTTTACTAAATAGGCTTAAATGTGTAATCAACTTATTTTCGAGCATTACATGGTTAATATAACAAAACTAAAGACATTTAATAACATCTAGACGAGGCATAGTAAACAAAATTTCTTCACCGGTACTTTCTGTGAAAGGTACTATATCGGTTGTCAAGTTTAGTACGCCACCTCGTAATAAAATCAACACCGGTTACAAAGTCAATTGTAAACATTTAAATATTACTCAACGAAACCTATTGGCTCTTAATTTTAAAACAATTTAATTACATTATTAATTATTTAATCCGGTGACGGCACCGGAAAAAAGTATGTCGTGAGTAAGCCGTTAAACAATTAATTATAAAATGTCTCACGAAAGTTTAAATAATTTTATTAATTATATTGACAGTTGGTTTGAGGCTCTCAATATATATCGTTAGTGATGATCGTGAAAAATATCTTAAGTAAAATGTCTATGCCTCTTCTATATATATTTTGAATCTCTACGACTAAAACAATAACAATATGACGTACTCTATAAGTGAACACAATGTGACGAATTAACGCAATACGTCATGTCAGACGCGCCCCTAAATTGAGGAGTGAGGTCCCCCATTTGGCAATAAATAGTAACATTGTAGGCACATTAAACGGGAAATTAATGACATTAATCATACTTGAATAAACAATGCTACGATATTTAATATTAACTTAAAATATACGCATAATAAGATTATTTATAAATAATAAAAGGGAGCAAACGAACGGCGAGAACACCGAGGTCGTCCACGACGCCCATGGACATCCGCAACACCAGAGGAACTACAGATGCGTTGCCGGCCTTGTACTGTCAGCTACATAAATATGTGCTAACCCCAGCTTTCAAACTTGTAAAAAATATACGCATATATTCGTCAATATCTGTAATACGTATGCATCTATCAAATTTTTTGCATTTATAATATTACAAACTTTCGCACGCGACTTCGTCTGCGTGAAATTAAAAAAAAAAATTAAGTAGCCTATGTGTTCATCGAGAGTATCCTCTACATCTTTACCAAATTTCATCGAAATCCGTTCAGCCGTTTAGACTACAAACTATAATCCATACAACCATCTAAACTTTCGCACTTATTAGTAAGATAAAGGGCGTGCCCCACCAAATAGTAAATTGTCTGATAGCAATGTAAGGTGTAAAATATGTAATGGAAATACGGGATTTTGTTCCCTTATCTTACAGTAACGTCATTTCTACGCTATCTGAGATTCTATTAGCCAGAGGGACAAGCCCTAAGTATAGAAGTACATTTCTCAGAAGAGAAAATGCGATTGCTAATACGTCAACATTTATTATTGGCTTTTTCCTGACCCTCTAAAGTACCTGTTTCCAAAAATTGCCTTGTCACAATAATTTCATTTCACGCAAACTGGCAACATAGGAGTGACATTAATAAGGGCGGAACTATAGTTTTTACTTACATAAAATATTTTACCCCTCGTTAAATTTATCATGTCACCCACGCTGATATTTTAGCCATGTCATACCGTAATTTAAGTTTTTTTTTTGTAATAATCATATTTTACTCGAAAAGCTTTCGATGTCTAGAGGCAGACTATCTGTACATTTATGGATACTTCTGCTAAGCTGTTTACCGACTTATACCAAACTATTTGACCGACTTAGGCTAAACTGTTTTATTGACTTGAAAATAACTCCCTTGCGGCTGATATTAAACAGTTTCTTTTTGTAATACCAGACAATATGCGAGTCCGGTTGCTGCGTTAACATGCCGTAATCTGGGTTGAATATCTCCTCTACAATGAGCTGGAAGAACTCCTTGCTCTCACCACACTCTTCCACACCTTGCTCACCTTCGAATTGCACCATCACCTTATATGAAAACTAGCTTTTGTCCGCGACTCTTCCGACACTTTCGTAAAATGTTGTTACCGTACGTCAATTTTTAAACTGCTTTTGACAAAAGTGTAACCAAAATCTCACTTGAATGGAATTCAACAGTTATTTATTTATTTATTGGAAAGGTACACAAATTAATATACCGTATACAATGAAAAACAAAGAAGCATCTGTATGTTCTTCATACAGATGACAGGCGTACACAGCGCTCACAAAAAAATTATATTTTACTTTTTAATAACAAACGTTGAATCACGTTAATTACAACTAATAAAAATTAGGGTACACATATTAAACAAAAACAATAAAAGAAAATACAAAAGTGTTACTGGTGATAATATAAGCCGA